GAATGATATATTTCACGGAGCAGAGAGTAGTTAAAGAAATGACCGGTGACACAGAAGAAAATGAAGAAGTCAGAGAGGAGTATTAGCTCCTAGTTGATGTTGGAGAGATTCTAATGATTCAAATTGAGCTCATGATAGAATCTCCAACAAGACTAACATTGGTTGGCCTCGAAGATAGTGAGTCTGATAAGCCAATGCTAGAGAAGGGGCAGCCCCTATTGAGGTAGTTGCTGGATGTCCTGATGGACAGTTTACCTCCTGAGTGGTTACCATCAAGAGAGATTCAACATATCATAGACCTCATGTCAGGTCTTTTTTGCCAAACAAACTCGTTTATGGGATGTGATTAGCCGAGTATGAGAGTTTGCAAAATTATATTACTTGATGGTTAGAGGATTGATTAGTACTTACCCAAATGCAGCTTTAGCTCTGATTGTACCAAAGAAGAATGACGACTTATTATATCAGAACAGAATTTAAATTGATGTTTGTATTTTAGAGTTGTATGAAATAGACGTGTGCATAAATTTTATAGTAAGACTTCCTCAGACACATCAAGGTCGATAATATTTTGATGGTGATATCGATTTCAGAAGCTTCTATTGAATAAGGTGAAGTCGCCTACCTGGGGAGAATGACATTGGACACAGAGATTGGAGTGAGATGCGACTGTAGGTAAGGGAGCGGTCGTGGGAAGGGGAAACAAAATTGTGTCTGGGCACAAAAACCACTGCGGAAATCGACCCGAGAGGATTCCCGTCTCGGTAACAGCTGTAGGGGAGATTTCTTGCCTTTTTTTTAGTTCTTACAGGTTCGATGGACTTTTCCTAATTACGATTTAGTTTAATTATCAGTATACATATTGTATCTGGAAGCTGGTTTAATAGCTTTTTATTTTTTTTATTATGTTTGGAGGCTTTATTCTCTGTTTTATGCTCTATGAAGTACTATATACTCTTCTTTTTGCAAGTGGTGTATATTTTCTTGCTCACGAATAGGCGGTGGAACCTTCTCATCTCACGTATCTCACCGATTCACCGCTTGACTCATTATTTTTAGCTAGGACAGTCGTCAAATGTCGTTTATCCCCTGCCAACTACCGTCAAACACATATTATTATTCCCATGCTATTCCACAACCCCACCCTAGCTAGATTCGCTTACTAAACACCTTTAAGGGGTCCTAGAATAATATCATTAAAGTAGCTATTTATGCTCCTTTTTATTGGAATGATTATGCCCAAAATACATAGCACATCAAGATTGTAATGTACTGGATTTTAGAGGCTCCTCAATCCTCACTTTTAGTTAATCGCCTATGAAAAAGATAGGCAAGCGTGATGCAACACTCGAGACAACTCTATGATCAATTTATCCTAGATTTCACTCAGAGTTCTAAAGCAAAACATAGCCTTGGAGATTCGTTTGGAGGAGAATTGCAACTTTATGAATTATTTTGTAGGTCTAAGCAAGCCTACACTAGGTATGGCAAATATTTTCTGTTGAAATCATGTTAGAAATGTGAGTGCAAAGGCCAACATAAAATATAACCCCAAAGATTGATGAACCTAAAATTGTAGAAGATGTTGGTGAAGTCATGTTGGCAGGAATGAAGATCACAGAAATGAGAAATAAATTGGAAAGAAAAACAATAGAGATAGGAGAGAAAGATTTGTGGTTTGAAAAAGTTTACTTATTTCATCCACAGAGAGAGAAATTTCTCTAGCCAAGAGATGAATACCAAAATCTTTGTAATTGAGTTAAATTTATTTACCTTTTTTCTGATTTGTAGTTTTTTCTCCTTTTTTTTTCCTTTTAAAACTTTATTAAATCCTCCATCTCTCTTCAGTAAATAACCAATCCAATAACCTAAAGTAACAAATTTAATGCATATACATGTATATATTAACCTTATTGGCTTATATAGATTGTCTCATTTGCATTTGTCTGTTGCTTTTATAGAAATATATTTCTTTTTTTGAACAACATTTCATGCCTTCTCACTCCACAACAATTCACTTCATTTGTCCATATTTTAGTTTTCAGTCTCCTAGAATCTTGCTAGAAATTGTTAGTCATCAATTTTCTCGAACTAATATAGTTTTTTTGGGTGGTTTTTAATTTTGCATGTATGTCCATTTACATCGTTCATAAATGTTTATATATTTTATTTATATTAATATGATGTAGTTAATTGTTTGGAGGTCAATGTTGTAGATAAGTTGCAATAAAATAAATCATGAGACATATTGTGATGCTGGAGTTAACTTAAATCATAATAGAAATGTAATAGTATCGCTAAATTTTCAACTAGTTACAAACGACTTTTGACAATTGAAAATTAACAAAATAGACACAAAAAACACCCTCGAAGCGAGGATGATAGTGGCAGACTGCAGGTTGGGAGAGTGGAGTTGGGTAGCTGAGGGGAAGGAAAAAGGCTGGATGAGGTAAGGAAGTGATAGCCAGGTGGTTGAGCAGCATGTGGGGCTGGTGTGGTGGGGATGCTATCGGGATGCTCCAAGGAGGGTTGTAGGCAAAGGCTGGCGAGATGAGCAGTGGACTGTTGTGTGGAGACTGTAATAACTCATTTTGAGAAATCAGATAAAATTTTTGGCAACTTCGGAGGAGGGTTGGGTTATTAGAAGCTGGTTGTGTTACAGTTAAGCTAATTAATTATATTAATGTTCAAATTATTTTATGAGCCAAAAAATTACAAAATCCTAAGATATTTACAGATTTCAGGTTGTTTATTCGAGGTGACGAATTCGAGACAAGCGTGTAGAAGATCGTCGTAAGTCGGTTTCGTAAATTTCAGGTAACATAATCTTATGTTAATTTAAGAAGAATAATTCAATTTATGGAAACCACTTGAATCTTAAAGTTTAACATTATGTTTTATTAATTATAAAGCTCAACATAAAACTCACCGCAACCTTGACTTAGCTATTGAAGATTAAAATTTTAGCATGACAACCGATAGGAGTAATTACATTTTTAAATTTCAATAATCTTCTTTATTTCAAAATGTATGTCTGACTCAATGAATATTCTAGTTTAGTTAGATTTTTTATATTGTTAGTCAGGATAGATTTGCATGAAAGATATGTATGAAATGCATGATATATATGATCTGCAAAATAAGCACGATATGATATATATACACATTATAAGCACGATTAAAAATGGTATGCATGATATAAGTAAGAGATATGCATGATATGAGAGTTATCTATTATGAATAGTTGCATGACGGAGTAAATATGCATATTAGTAGATACATAATTATATCTCAGAATAATATATATTGTAAAAAATGAAATAACTTATATATTAATGCTTGTATGTGCATGTTCAAATGAGGAGTTTGCCCCTTAATAATACAAGCGAGATGCTAGTGTACCCGTACGCGTGGAGTTTTTCTAACACCATAGACAATTGCGATGTTTAGATCACTAACCGTTGTGTCGACGGGATAATATTGGCCAGGGGCGAGTAGACTAGAACTCACCACCCTAGACAATTCAGATGTTTATATTACTAATTGCTGTGCCGACAAAATAATATTGGCTGGGGGCAGGTAAGGACTTTTCCATACTAAATAATCACGATATGTAGATCGCTAATCGCTGTGCTGACAGAAGCCAACGAGATAATATCGATCAAGGGTATATAAGGTTTTGTTGACGGTGATCTTCAAAGAGACAAATGTGTATGTAAATAGTATAAAGTAAAGTAAAACTTAAGTAAATACATATAGGTGTTTTAAATGTTTTATTGAGAAAAGCTCATTGGTACATGTATTAACATATTATTAGATTTCTTCTAGAACTATGAAAGACTAACATATTATATGATTTCTCATACAGATAAAAAAACCAATGTTCATATTGATTTTCTTTTCGATTACTGCAGTTTAAAAATACGATTGCTTCTGATTTATCTTTAGATAACTTATTTTTTTGATTTAATATTATTTTTAAATTTTAAACATTTGAATAAAATGAACAGAAGATGATCAAATGTGTATAGAAGACGAGAAAAATAAACGAAAAGTTACAAATTTCTACTTGTTAATTTTATTTTTTTGTAGCTTTTTCATGTATTATTTGAATATTAAATTGCTTGTGAGAAAAATAGAACAACAGATAATTTATTTCCATCGTCCGACTGTTAGTTCCCATCTTAATTAATTCCAAGCCCTGGGTCAGGATGTGATAAAGACTGTTGCAGGGAGGGTTGCAGGGAAAGGCTGACAGGATAGGGACTGGGCTGCTGTGTAGAGGCAGCGACCAGGAAGGCTGACGTGATGAGGGCTGGGCTGTTGTGTGAGGCTGCGACAGGGAAGGCTGATGGTAGGAAGGCTAGGAAGAAGGGAGGGCGAAAAGACAACAGGAGGAATGTCAGATCAGCGACAACAAGCATAAAAGGGAAAGATACACACTACATCGGGATGAGTTACAATAGGAGTATATTCTCGCTGCCGGATACTACTTTAGAAGTGACAAGAGGCGCGTTGGGGGTTGTCCTGATAGAAAAATCAGCAAAAACTAAACCTTCAATAAAAAATAACGAATTTATATAGTAGATAACAAGGAGGGGAAGATCCCTCTCTTTGGGCTTCAACCCTAGCCCCAAATAGGAGCTGACCGACCCATGCCTCTCTTGGCTGAACAACTCCTCTATTTCTAGCCGGTTCAGCCCCTCAGGGAGCTCCGCGTCTTAATGCTTCAAGGCTTGTTTTAGGAGTATTTGTAGAAGAATATGATTGAGGGGAATCTTTCTAAGATCCTACTTGTATTGCTTTTTTTGCATGGTATTGCATCAAGGCATGCATCTATGTGCTTTTGTAGTAAAAAGGATTTAGCAAGGGGGTAGTATGAGGAATTTTATGCCTTTAATCTAGTGCCGATATCTTTTATTTTTATTAAGTTTAATGCACATATTCTTGGTTCTTTCGAATGAGTCTTTTGCCCGCTTAATATCTACATATCTGTTTAGGATGTCGCTTGATTTTGGAAATTCATTTACGAGAGAGACCGCTCATTCATCACGTTCATCTTCTACTCTTCAAGACGAGGTAACTTTTATTTCGACATTGTAAAATTTAACGTTACCTTTATATTTGTGTTTTTAGCTTCTATTATTGCTGTTTGTTTGATTTCTTATTAGGATTATTAAATCGTTAGGAAATATGAAGAATCATTTATTTCAATATTATAAGTTATCTTTTGTAACTTTGTATACTCTTTCTAATTGTTTTATGTGAAATTCAGATTGATGCACTGCAAGAAGAAAATGAAAATATACTTGAAAAGGTGAGATGAATTAGTAATTGAGATGGCATATTCCATAGGGTACGAAGTTCCAATGATCTTGGTCTCAAAATATGGAATATTCTTAGCATTGTTTTTTGTCTACTGATCTGCATTCTCCCAGCTTCGGCTTGCAGAGGAAAGGTGTGAGGAAGCGGAGACAAGAGCTAAACAACTTGAGAAGCAGGTTACTTCTCCTTTTCTTTTTCTGTGGACATCTTCAGTAATATAATGGAGTAGCCAATATAATTTAGGCTCTTGTGGTATTGAATACTGAGACGTTTATTCCTTTATTAAGGATAACAGTATAGGAAAACAAATAGTCTTATTATTTACCATAAACTGTTTACTGCCAGTTTGATTGATGTGTTGTGGTCTGATCTAATTAATTTGGTTACTTCTAAATCATATAATAGAAAATTGAATATTTATTGATACAGAATCTTGTATTAATTACTTTTAATTGCTTTTATCTTCTATTTTTTATTCTGTTTTTATTTGTTTCCTTACTAGTATATCCTGTAATGAGAATTTATACCCCTCTCTGCATCAATAAGAAATATCTTGGGTTCTATTCTAACATTATTCATAAGCTGTTTACTGTCAGTTTGATTGATGTGTTGGGGTCTCATCGTATTCGTTTGGTTACTTCTAAATCATAATAATAGATTTTTTTTTTGTTGGATGTCAGCAATGACCCAAGGAAACAAACTTCATTGAAAATTAAATGAATGAAATTCTTAATATCCCAAACTAAAAACATGATTTGTTATCCAAAATTTCTTGATATTTAATATTTTTCTTCTGCATCGTAGGTTGCTTCTCTAGGTGAAGGGGTATCTCTTGAAGCTCGTCTACTGAGCAGGTCAGCCTTAATCTGCCATTACTCCTTTTAACTCCTCGTTTCATCGATGTGTCACATTCTATGGTTGCTTTCAGGAAGGAAGCTGCATTGCAACAAAGAGAGGTATTTTTTATTTTTAATTTATGTGTGACTGCATTTATGAGTTAGCTTTCAGTAGATATTGTACTCAAATAGAACAGGAACAAATTCATTATAGCAAGTGCTTAAACACAAACACGGACATATAATTGTTCTTAAATAGTTATGCCCATACCTTGAGAATTGTAATGCTTTGTGATAGCATGTCAATAAGAATTCATTTGATTTTATGATAAGCACAGCACTTTCAATACGACATATATATATTAGACTTTATGAAATTGTAGATTTTCCAAGTCAAGAAGAGATTCTAGAATTAATAGCATTTATGTAAAATGGCCACCTTTTAAAATTTAGAATGACATGCTATTCATTTAGTTGATCCTGATAATTGTCTTATGTTAGTAAGCTCAAAATATTATTCTTCATATAGCATTTAATTTGTGTTTGCTTTCGTCTAATGACAATGAAGATGTTATAGACGCTAAATAAAAAAATGTTAAGGAAAAAAAAATTCAATCTTGGTAATGGTATTACTTTTGAACTGTCCAAAATGAAAGTCCCATTAAAATTTTACTTCTCAAGAAGAGTGCTAGCACAGTTACTGACAGTAAGTAATACAATGATTGCTCATAATATGAGTTGAGACAAACTTTCTTTGTTTTATGTTAATTGTTGTTAGTGTAGAAATTACCTGGGGAGGAAAATTTGCTTTCTTTATTATTCACAAACAGGGTACATATATACAGGGAAACCAATCCCTTCTTATTTACAAACTTCTAACCTAAATTATGTAAGGAAATAATTGTGAATAAAAAATAAGAAAAAACATAAAATAGGAAAGGAATAAACCAATAAAATGTTTCCTATGATATCCCAATCAAATCATCAAAGCTTTAGATGTGGTGGTCGGCCCAATATGAGAGATAAATAAATAAAGAACTGAGAGCTTGTTTGGGAGGGTTTTTTGACTGCGGCGCGGTCATTTGCCGAGACTTTTTGGCGAAAGTTATTGTTTGGTTCGTAACTGCGCGGCACAACTTTGGCGAAGAAGAAAGAAAGCGGGCCACGACATTAACCCCGTGGCCCCGCTTTCGCCCCAACGCTTTTACCCTTTGCCCCGCGTCTTTCTCCTCTACCCTAGCTGCTTCCCTGCTGCTTCCCTCGCGAATCCCCTTCTCCTTCTTCTTTCGTAGCCCCTCGATCGACTGATCTCAGGTACGACGAACCATTTTCTTCTTGTATTTGTGGATCTGAGAAAGGTTATGCGTTTTCGCGGCTCTGATGTTTCTTCTCGTCATCTTTTTCCTGTTTCAACAAATTTTTTCCTCCTTTTCTGTGGTGGATCTGTAGCTTCACGAAGGCATCAATGACATCAGTGATTTGCGTTTTTGCTCTGGCTACTGAGCTAGAAGTTGGCAACAGAAATTCTCAAATTTTTTGCTTTTTTTTCCTCTTTTTCTGTGGTGGATTTCAGTGCTTAGCTAGAAGTTTGGCTTTAGCTGGAAAGTTTAGAACACGAAAAATTTCCTCTTTTACTCTTTTCTCAAACGAGTTCTTAGATTTGAGATAAAATTGACATTGTCCATCCAAGTTGCAGATCTTGCACCCATATATGCATGTATGCAGATTTTAATTAGATTGTTCTGTGGTTGAAGATTTGCAAGCACCTATGAGCACCTGTTCATGCAAGATTTGGGTTTGACTTTCTAGCTCAGTCATACCCCAATCTAAAGACAATTTGAAGAGGTTTCTCTTTTCACATAATAGTTTCCTCTTTTCTGTTGTAGATTGACATGCTTAGTTAGAAGTTTGGTTTTATGCAGTTTAATGACAAACTTAAGACAAATTGGATAGCTTACAAAGAATACAATCGTCTATTATGAAAATGAGGGTTCAAAATTAAAGAGTTGCTATTGCTGTTATAGTTACTCTCTTCTCTCTAATACATATTAAAATTATAAATAGCAACACTTCTTTCTTTTTGAAGAGCTTTTATTTTTTTTGCTTTTTATTGTGGATGCAATTGAATCATTCATACATTAATGAGTGTTAAGCATGAATGAATGTTTAGTAGCCACCTATCTTGAAAATTAAAACCAAATTGCATCCAAGATGGTTGAGGGAAAGGGAAATTAGACTAAACAGAAGCAGAAGATTCATGTTTTGGTATATTTGAAAGAGGGCTTTAAAGCTTATTGGTATGACCAATTGGTTGCTTGAAATTCCATGTGTAGCATTCTCTTATTGAAAATAGGAATGCATACCTCCATTTTGTCGAAGCTCTTTAAATTTCCTATCTTTACTTCCATTAACCTATACATCTTTTGGGTTGGCTTTGGATTGGTGGAAAAATGTGGTTGTGTATGGTGCAGTTTAGCTTTTTTGTTGGACCTGGACATGGCAAGTGATCCCATTCAGCTTCTCTGTTGGATGTGAAAGGTGCAGTTTTCTGTTTTTTTTTAATGCTTCAGGTTAGTTGTGTAAGGTGCAGTTTTCTGTATGCTGTCGATTTGCTGTGGGTTGCATATGTGTGGGAATTTCTGTATGCTGCCGGGTTTGCTGTGGGCTGTGTGGTTGCATATGTATGGGTATTTGTGTATGCTTATTTGTGTATGCTGCCGGTATGCTGCCGATTTTTTTATGCTTCGGTATGTTGTGTAAGGTGCATTGTTTTAGTACTTTCAGGAAGTGGTAATGTATGAATCAAAGCTTTGTATCTTTCTCTTTAGTGCTTAATGAAGTTTTTGGCTTCCTTTCCCGTGGATGTAGGTCTTCTTGACCGAACCACGTAAATTATTTGGTGTCCTTTTTTACATTTCAAATTCATTTGTTAAATTTTTTGTTTTTATTGAATCTGATGCAACAACCATAAATGTTTCGGCTGTTATAACTTCTGAATTATGCTATTGTTGTGTTTCATTTCTTTGCTTTAGCGTAGTATTAACATGGCTGGTAAGGCTAACGAACATGGTTCACCAGCATTCTGGGAAAAAGAAATCAAAATGATGTTTTGCGACTTTTGTATAAAAGAAATAGAAATGGGCAATAGACCTACAACGTTTTTCAATAAAAAATATTGGCAGAATATCATTAAAAATTTTAAAGACTCCACGGGAAGGGAGTACGACAGACTACAAATGAAGAACAAATGGGATCAACTCAAAAAAGATTGGAAAATTTGGAAGGATTTAAAACGTGGTTAAACAGGTTTGGGTTGGGATCCGGTGAAGCGCAACATTGATGCTTCGGAGAAGTGGGCAGAAAGGCTCGAGGTTAGTAATTTTTCATTTCTTACAATTTGCGTGATATCATTTTCTTTCAAGATTTACTAAACTGCTTAGTGTTTTCTTTTCAGGTGGTGCACGCAGCGAAGAAGTATAAAACTTGTGAAATTGAACCCGATTTCGAGAAGTTAGACCTGATGTTCTGGGGTGTCGTCGCCACAGGGAAATATGCATGCGCTCCTAGCGAGATAGAATTTGGTGATACGCAGGACAATGTTGCTGTCAGCTTATCAACTGATTCATCTGAATTCCCCAGTCCGGGTCCCATTGAGATCCAATCCGCAAACCGCTAGAAGCGATCTCGGTTCGAGAGTAGATAAAAGGGCGGAGTTGCTTCTATCAGAAACCATATATCATGCCTGATGGATTCTTCTAACGATGCCCCCCATAAAGTGTAGAAAACCTCAATTAGTGAGGTTGTGGCAATTTTAGAGCAGGATCGAGTATTGCAGAGGATGACGAGCTTTACTATTTTGCTGTTGTGCAGAGAGATTTTTTCATAGCAATTGTCAAAGAGCGAAGGGTGTCGTATCTACGACATTTTTATGATCGCAGGAACATTTGGTTGGAGTTTTTTAAGTATTTGCTCTATGCTTATTTGAACAGTTTATGAGATGATATTGTTATTTGAACTGTTGTTGAGACTTATCACTTTAATTTTGTTTTATTTATACCTGTCTTTATGAGACTTTTCACTTTAATTTTTGCGTAAATCCGCGTAAAACTGTTGCTATATGTTATGACTTGTTACGAGTTAAATAATATAGTTCTTTTCTTAGTGATGATTAGTTTAATAATTTAGTTTTATTTGGCAAAACATGTCTAATATAAGTCATTATGGACTCAAACCAAGTACGTCGTAGAAGGAGAAACACAACAATCAACTTGCTCGTAGAGTACTACAACACATACATCGACCGTTCTCCATGTTACACATCATCACATTTTGGAGACAAATGGGGTTGTAGAACAAATGGGTTGCGGAAATGCTTGCTGGGCATCTCACAAGTGAGGTCTTGACGATTACTCTTTATATATTATCACAGAATGAGTCAATGCGTGGTGCGATGAAACTTTTCCAGCACTCATCAAAGACGATTAGCATGTACTTCTCAGTGGGTTTGAGTGCTTTGGTGAGCCTCGCCAAACAAGTCATAAAGCCAAAGGATCCAATGTTCTCACGAACTCCAATGGAGATTCGCCACGATCGACGTTGCATGTCATTCTTCAAGGTACTGATTGAATTTTATATTATTGAAATTTAACCATGAATGCGACCATTAATTACTAAAGCTACATGTTTAGGATTGCATCAACGCGATGAATGGAACACACGTTGATGCACGAGTTTCAAATGTGAGAAGGTTGTATTTATCAGACGTAGTGGAACCCCAACACAAAATGTTATGCAGTTTGCGACTTTAATATGTGTTTTACATTTATCATGTCTAGTTGGGAGGGTAGTGCGCATGACAGAAGGATTTTCAAGAGTGCCACACGGAATCCGCATTACAGCTTTCTCCATCCTCCGGAAGGTATGTTGCGTACGAAATCTTTATTGCATTTTCTGTATATGTCATATTGAAAGTTCAACACCTTACAGGAAAATATTATTTGATGGATGCCGGTTATCCGTTGCAGCGAGGGTATCTCAAACCCTACCCTGATACCAGATATCATATACCTGATTTTGAACGAGCAAGTAATGTTATGCGAAGCAGAAAGGAGGTGTTCAAC